AGGAAATACATTTGTAGTAGTTGGCAACATTTTCCTTTAGATGGATTTGTTTTTAATCTTTGTTTTGTGACACAAAATTATCTACTACGCTATCTCTTTGTCTTGATGGCTCAGTGAGCTCAAATCTGGTCACTGCTGCACTTGCACCACTTCTTGGGAGGTTTGACCTCCACTGGTTCAGGTGGTTCCGGCTATAAATATGTCCTATAACATGCAACTCAAATACCAGGTTACTCTTGGTCCCTTTGTACCAGGCCATAGGGTTTAACATTGCAGTGAGCTCCTCCCCTTGTGTGGTGAGTTGACCTTGGCTGAACGCCAGGTCCCCACCCAGCCGCTCTATGACTCCCCTGTCCTGCTGGGAAGGGGAGAGAGTAAGGTGGAAAAAACAACTTGTGGGTTGGGATAAGGCAGTTTATTTAAAGCAGAAGCAAAGTGGAAGCTTGTGCACGCAAAAGCAAAGCAAAAGATAACATGGTTTATTCTCTACTTCCCATGAGCAGGGATGGTCAGCCGCTTCCGAGAAGCAGGGCTTCAGCACGCGTAATGGTTTCTCAGCAGGCAACCATTGGAGACAATGAATGCCTGCCTTCCTGCTCTGTACCTTAGCTTTTATATCTGAGCTGACATCATATGGTATGGAATATCCCTTTGGTCAGTTTGGGTCAGCTGGCCTACTTGTGTCCCCTCCCAGGATCTTGCCCTCAATTGAGGAAGGAATGTTGCAGTGCTGATGCTGTGCTCAGCAGTAGCCAAAACACTGATGTGTTATCAACACCCTTCTAGCTACCAATGCAAAGCACAGCACTGTGAGGGCTACTATGGGGGAAATGAACTCCAGCTCAGCCAGGCCCAATACATCTTGCTTCTGCTTTGACTTGGATTTATTCACAGACTTCAGTCCCTTAGGAGTGTACCTGGTTCAAGTGGAGCCTTATCTATGAGCCACAGTCTCTTTAGGGTATACCTGCTGCAGCACAGACTTATCCACAGCCACAGTTGCTTTGAGGTGCACCTGTTCCCGCATGGCACAATCCCTTCAGAGATGTACCTGCTTCAGTGTGGCCTTACCTACAGCAACAGTCCCTTCAGGAGTGTACCTGCTTTGTCATAGACTTATCCACAGCCACAGATGCTTCAAGGTGTACCTTCTCCAGTGTGGACTTCTTGGGCCACAATCCCTTCTGAGGCATACATGCTGTGGCACAGATGTAACCATGGCCACAGATGCTTCAGTGTCCTGTTCCCATATGGACTTATCCACAGGTCACAATCCCTTTGACTTGAGCTCATACAGAATTCCAGCCTGTCCAGTACAGCAGCAATGCCCTGGACATCTGCCAGCCCATGTGCATGCATGGTCATTGCTATTATCAAAATGTTCTCAGACACAGCAGAGTAAGATGGTAAACAGCCACTAACGAGCAGTACACTTCAATTAAGTCAGGCAAGTGAGCCCATGGCAAGCTCAAGAGCCTGCTGATTACTAGCTAAACAGCACTAACAGCTATAAATTTGACCTAGCATGTTCCAGTCAAATCTGTTGTTATCTCAAACCCTTCAAGCCCCTCATTGGGCACCAAAAATGCTTGTTGTGGTTTAACCCTGGTAGTCAGCTAAGCACACACAGCTGCTCGCTTGCTTACTCCCCCAGAGTGGGATGGGAGAGAGAACTGGAAGGTTCCCTTTTTCCATCTACTGTAGCTTACAACTAGCATTTAATTTTAAACAGACTGGTAATAAATCAAAAAGGAGCTTGACCATGCTACTTGACTGGGAGATGTTTAGTCAATTTCTTAATGCCTATCACCTAAGGTCTGTGATATCTAACAGGCTTACACTGTTGCATCAGTGCTTTTAACCTGATTTTTTTGGTCACAGGCTCTGAATTAGACAATCTGATACTGAACACTACTTTCCTTGGGGTTTAAAGACAAATTCAAAGGGTTATACCTGTTCATCTTGAAAATATTAATTGTCAAGACAAAGGAATTGTTTAATAAAAAAAACAGCTGTGGAAATTACTCTGAAAATTATTAATAGCAGTTATGATTGTAGTGCCATACCTTTGCTTTTTATTAATAGCATGCTTAAATATGGAAAAAACATATATCCAAGACTGGATAGTATTATTGTCCTCAGAATTAGCAAAATAATGTTGATGCTGAACTCTTCACACTTTCTAGAAAAATCTGTAGAATATTCAAAAATAAAGTCAGTAAAGAGCTTGAGTTGTTCCTTAGGACTTACAGTTATCATATTGCATAAGAAAGTACTGTTTTCCTGTTTAAGACTTTTTGGGTATGAGCACTGAAAGTTACTTGTTATCTCTGGAAGTTTGTCACTACTGAATCTTGTTCACAATCTGAAATATGAACTACTGACTGGAGACTCTCCTTGTTAACTTCTACAGTGAATTGTGAAATGGGGCTTGGATCTGTGAGGCTTTGTGTTAGTAGTAACAGGCATATGAACATAATACAAGTAAAATCTTATAAGAGCAGGTATTAACAGTAAAGGTAATAAAAAGTTAACTAAGTTAACTAAAAGTTCATGATGTTTGGAAAAAATCCACTTTCAGTATGGAATGCTTACTGATCCAAAAGGATCTCAACTAAGAAATCCTATTTGTATGCATGAAGTTGGTTACAAGTGAGTCCTTTAAACTTATATTCTCAATTGTTAATTATGGAGTGTATTTTATAGCTTACTCAATATCTTTTAAGACAATAGATGTAATCATACAACTGAGTGTCCAGGAAAACTGAACAGGGACAGACTCCTTGGGTTGTATGTGTTAAAGTTTGTATACAAACACATCTCCCTTGACTGTCCTCTGCACTAATTTGAATATTAAAAGGATTTTAAAAACAACTGATAAAAAATTAATTTTTCAAAGAAAACTAACAGATCCACAGAAGTTCACAGAAGGACCCATTTTTATTCTGCATAAACTTGAGTAAAAAGCGACAAATTTGACCAAAAGTGTTCATAACAAAGGCAACTGAAAAATGTCATTTCAATTCAAACTGCTTGATCATTAAGGCTGAATATAGTACAAGGATACTGGTATCCAATGTAAATATGTTTTTTTTTTCTTTAAATTAGTGAAAAAAAGTGTCTGAAACAAGGGCTCTTTTGAGCTATGTGGTTTGTAATAGTATGCTTGATGTATCACAGAATCTGGTTTGAAGCTCAAGAACGTTAGGTGTTATACTGTTTGAGGTTTTAGATCATCTGACTTGGCAACTATAGTGGCAGAATAACTTGATACTATGACAAAAAACCATTACTGTAAATGTCACTTGTTTCTAAAATATTTTTCTGTTGACTTTTCCAGAAGTATCCTCTCTGTTCAACAACTTTGACAATGTTGTTATTGTTTTGGAATAATTTAAACTGGGTCACATTACTTTTAATATTGTGTGTACATGATCTATATGGGTGTATACAGGTGATAACACTAGGTATCCTGTATGTCATGGGTTTACTGACCAACCTCCCCCCCAGGGCTGAAAATAGTTTTTCCAGGTGAATTTCTGGAGCAAAGCCAATCAAAAGTTTTAGTAACACCTCTGCCAATTACATATTTAAGAAAACGGAAGAGAAGCCTGTTGCGCAGAAGAAAATGGAAGAGCCAGCGTAGCAGCCAGCCCTGTTGGGCCCAGGCATCTGCCCCCCCCCAGGGCCAAGTCTGGCCCAGGCAAGGGGGGGCCGGCCCCCCTTCTCTCCTGTAACCGAGTAGAGGAAAAAAAACTTCAGAGAAAAACCTGGGTGAGACATGCTGCAGAAGGAATTCCGGCAGAGAGATAACGGAGCCTCCAAGGTCAAAACTGGCAGCCGCAGGAGAGAGAAGAGAAGCCCGAGGGAGGGGGAAACTCCTTCTCTCCCCCTCTCTCTTTCTTTTTCCCTTCAGCAGGGAAGAGACTGAAAACTAAAAACCCCTGCCACCTGTAGAAGATTGCTGGGGAGAGGAAACCCCCCTCTGCAGCTCATGAAGGAACCCACGCTGAAGCAGAGTGCATGAAGTAGATGTGACTCCATGGGAGGCCTAGATAAAACAGAGTCCTGCTGGAGACCTGTGGCCCATGGAGAGAGAGATCTACACTAGAGCAAACTGGCTCGGGTAGGATGTGTGATCCCAGTGAGGGATCCATGCTGGTGCAGCCGAATTTGTGACCTTAAGGGACAGCAGAGAATGAAAGAACTGTTACCCAAAGGTAAACTCACGCTAGAGAGGTCCATCAAGGACTGTCTCGTGAGGAGGGACCCCACAAGCAACAGGGGTAGACTCAAAAGCCATTACTCCTTGTATCTGTGGGAAGACCATGGTGAGGCAAGTGTCCCCTTGCAGTCCATGGAAGACCCCACAGGGCCTGGGTAACCCCCAGCCTCCGGTCTTAGCCCAGGAGTGGGTAGGTCCAACCCTGAGGTCGACATAGAAGAAAGAGAGAAAGAGAAACAGTTCAGCTGCGACGAGTCAGAGCTGTCATCCTAGAGATAATAGAAGAAGTGCTGCAAAATTATTTGAAAGACCTATAGCTCCGGAAATGGAAAAGAGACTGCTTCTCCTCCTGAACTGATATGAGGGGGGAGGGGTATTTCTGTAAATACATAGCACTTTTACCTGGTTAGAATTGTATATATAGTTCTTTAGTTTTTATCTTACTAGTAATAAATCCTAATATTATTCTCCCCAATCAGATCTCTTTTGTCTGCATAAACCTTCTCTCAACTTACAGCAATTGTGTGGGGGGTGAGAGAAAAATTAGCCCAGAGTAAACCCATGACACTGTATTTTCTAGATGATGGAACAGTGGGGAAAACTTGATCATTTTCCATAGAGATAAAAGGAAAGTTAATAGAATACCTATTCTACTTAGTACTTCAGACAATAAACTTCAGGGTCTTAGTAGAGGGGAATTTACTGTTGATAAATACAAACATGCTAGTGAAGTCAAGAAAAGGAAGAAAATAACCTTTATTTCTTGCTTTAACAGTTGTTACTCAACCAAGCCTATCAGTTTCTCAACCTAGTACTTCACAGACTGAAGAGAAAGCTTCTGAACTGCCTAAACCAAAGAGGAACAGGTGTTTCACATGCAGAAAGAAGGTTGGCCTTACGGGTATGATAGCACTATGTCAATATTGAATAGATTTATATGATTAGTTGCCTCTTACTAGATTAAATATGTTGAAATCTGTAGGCATTAAACTCTTTTTTGCTGTTTCAAAATCCATAATGTTAGATCCCTTAATAAAGCTGATATTTGAAAATATTCATTTAACTTAATCTGTTACAGTAGCTGCAAATACCCCCTTTGTAATGTCTAAGCCCTTAATTTATAGCTTTCGTAAGTCCAAAGCTTCCTAGTGATGTTACTTTTCCTTTTTTCTTTATACAGGGTTTGATTGCCGATGTGGAAACTTATTTTGTGGACTTCACCGTTATTCTGACAAGCATAACTGTCCATATGATTACAAAACAGAAGCTGCAGCAAAAATCAGGAAAGAGAATCCAGTTGTGGTAGCTGAAAAAATCCAGAGAATATAAACTAACCTACTTGTGTAAAGACTGACTTTTATTTGTTTTATTTTAATATACCCTAGGAAGGCATTAAAGAGCAGATGCATGGCCATTTTCTTTTGTTCTCCAAAGTTTTAATTTTAGCCTTGTCTGCCTTAATGACATTTCAGAACATTTGAGTGTTTGTTACAGGCAGAATTGGATAGATACAGCCCTTGAAAACACATATGCTCTTCTCAGAATATGATTGGAAGGTCAGAACCTGCACAGGAAGACACATGCACAGAAGACAGGCTCTAGTTCACATGTACCAAACAGATGTATACTTCGTGTTTGCAGCAGATCTGCCTTTTGAGCTGTTCAAGGTGTATATCACTAGCCAAAGACTGTGCCTGTTTGGGAGAAGGATTTGCCAGAAAGGCTGGGGGTCTACTTCTATCCATTTAAAATCTTATTCTACTTTTAGTTTTCACACATTATTGTTTTCCAGCAGAATATAAGACATGTAGAGTGCTCTACCACCCAGTAAGATGAGTGTTGGTGTTATATTTAATAAAAAAGTCATTTAGCAATTGCAATGAGAAAAATGGAGGGGGGGGGGAAGATATATATATAAGAAGAAATCTATTTTGGAACAGATAACATTAACTTTAGAATCTTGAAAATGAAACTAATTTCCCAAAGGAAATGCCCTGTTAGAAACTTAAGAACTGACCTGCAACACTTGTCTGCTTTTCCTTGCATAGCTAATAACATTGTTTAGCACAATATTGTGCTAAAATTAACTTACAAAACAAAAGCTACATGTGGCATTTTTAGGCATACCACTGCAACTCTATCAAGTGACACATGCATCTTTGTAAGTTGCAGAAGTATTTGAGAAGTTTATTCTTCATGTACTTCTTAAATTCAGTGTGTTCTGGGTTCAAAATAATATTAGGAGCTTTTTTCAATTAAAAAAAGTTTTAAATGTAACAATAATTGGGTATGGAAATCATACCCAACATGGCTCCTGTAGTGGGAGCTGGAACCACTCTTGGAGGGCTGGTTTATCATTTTTAATCATATTTGGGTGTAGGACTGTAGTGTTCTTGGGTGTATTGCATGGACTCCATTATCTACAGCTTTGTATAATAACTAGAAAGGGCAGTAGAGTTCACTGATGCTTGTCTGGTAATATCACTTCTGTGTTATAATGGAAGGGGTTTTTGTGATGTATGAAAATTGTGGGGTTTTTTTATATAATCAAGTATAGTGTAGATGAGTGTTGTAATTCCTCTTCTCATGTGTAAATAATTGTGTATGTGCATAAGATGCTACTTATGATTTTTATTGCAGTGTTCAATCTTAGTTTTTTAGTTCACCATTAAAAGCATCAATCTTTTGCTATAACTTTGTTCTTTCAATTTAGTTATCAGATATGCAAGCATGTACAGATAGTTCATACTTAGGTTTTGCACATAATCACACTATCCAGCATCTATGCTCTGTTGTATTATGTAAATAATAAAAATCATGTACAGAAGGAAATGCTTTTTGTGCTAGTTCATTGGTTTATTGCTCTAACTTAAAAGTGGCCCTGTGGAGGTTGGGATACAAAGCTAGTACTAGGTTTGTATAGATTTTTTTTTTAAACCTTTCTAACCTCCTCCTATTTCTTATTTTGACATACTGACTTTTTTAAGATGACTTGTTGAGGTCAGAGAAACATGAACAGCTGAAAGACAGGTAACTACTTGATGACCAGACAAAAGATGACAGCAAACAACAGTGTACTCAAAAGGGAATGAAGGAAATATTAACAGTGAACTTTAAATGTTTGTGTTCTGTTGTGGGTATTGGGTTGTTTTATTTCTTCTTTTAGTTACAGAAGCTATTTCCAGTTGATCTGTTCTAATACAGCCAGTATACTGACTACATTGTTTTGTTAAAATCTTCCTCAGAAGGCCTGGGCAGAGTTGTCAGGGTCTGTATCCAAATATGAATGTCACATATGCCAGACGTACCTGTCCCAAGGAAAAACAAAAGTACACAACACATGTTGACTTGAAAGAAGCTATCTTGACTGCTGAATAATACATAATAATAGTTGATATCAGAAATGTATAATGTGCATCCCATCAGTCAGCTAGTACTTTCACTCAAGAGATGTCATTACTGCTGCCACTATATATGCTTCTGATAAGGGAACAAGGGCATGTTCTGGGTCTTCATGTGCCAGGATGAATTTTATATTTTTATTTGTGGAACTGTTTTATAGCATAAAAATTATATTTTTCCACCTTTTTGTATTAAAATCAACTCAATTGCATCATAAAAAACTTGTTCAGTTTGCAGGTGGGTTTTTTTGTTTGTTTTGTGAATGAACCTTAGAACTGGATATTTGAGGAGAATGTGTCCAGATTTGTGATATTTTCAGAGTGAGAGCATTTTAGGAAGGATAACCATACTGATACTAGTACTTAATGATTCTGATGGTCTCCCTTGCATTCATTTGCTTTTTTAATCTGGACAAAGGCTTGTTTAATTTAACTCAGTAGATCTGAGGAGGAAAGTATGGAATGAAAAATCTCTCATTGTTCAATAAAATCATTAACTGTATCATGTAAATTGTTGACAGGTGGGATGTGAGACTGTATTCAAAACTAAACCTTTGTCATAGGTTTACTTGTTCTAAGAAAACCAAGGGGAAATTCTTTTTTTTTTCTTTTCCCTGCATCATTGTGAAAGAAGGATATTGAACAGGGGAGGGTGGTTTGCCTTAGGTGATTGACCCACACAAAAGAATTAACCAGCAGATCCACATTCCAAGCTGATGGCCCTCCCAAGACTGTGGAGAGGGGTGATGAGTTTCTTTTCTCTCCTCAGAAACAGGAGGAACTTCACTTTTGCCCTAACTCAGGGAAGTTGTGTGTTAGAGGGGTCTAAGGTTCACTTTGTTTACGGCCTGATCACCTGGCTGCTTCTGGTCCTGGTTTGCCTCCGTTTTCCTGCACCCTGTTCTGTCTCCAGCCCAGACCTGGTTGGACTTCATCAGAGAGGCTTGACCCACCTGCAGAGGAACCTTTTGGGGAGGAGGCCACCCTTTCCCTCCTCCACTCCCATGTTAGCAGTGGTGTGTGTCCATCGACAAAAGGGGGGAAATCCCAGCCGCAGCCAGCCGCAGACAGTGTGAGTTTTGTGGGAAGAGCTCCCCTTTTTCCCCTTTTCCCCTTCCCCTTCTTGGGGGTAGGGGGGGGGGAAGATCTTAATTTTCGTCTTCTCCCACGAACCAGGGCCCCCACACAGTGACTGCCAGAGCCCAACAGCACCCCCTGCCGACCAACACAGAGCAACTGCAGGCTCTGCTCCTCTATAGATCCAACAGCGCCCCCTGTTGATAGTGGTTAAAATTGCACCAAAAGATAGAAAGTACTGAGCTGTTTCCTTTTTGAAGGGGATTTTTGGGTATAGGATTATTTGGTTCTTTTTGTGTTCTTTTGTTTTTCTGCCAATACACATATATCCTTTAATAAAGGGCTATTATTTTTTCTTTGTCCATACTTCCTCAATTTACGCTTCACTGTAAATTGAGTTGGGGCTCCCAAGACCCCTTTCTTCCTCATCTTCCTCTTCTTCATGGCACGTACTGTCTTTGGAACTTCTCCAAGGTTCTGGGCTTGAAGGTTGCTTTGACTATGATGGTATCTTGTTGTTCAGGCCTAGGGTGCAAATGTTCTTAAACATAAGGTGTTTACTTCAGTTCTACCTTGAAAAGGAACCTAAACAAACCTATAGAATTTAGAAAATCTGATATGAAATGGGGGAATAGGGTTTGGTAAGTGTTAACTAATATTCTAAAGTGTGAGAGATTGTACAGCTACATTAAAATCTACAAAAAGCTAAAAATCCTAAAAATTCAAAGGCATCATAGGGTCTATAATCATTCCAGAGCACTAACTTTCTTAAAGCTTAATAAACTTTCAAAGAGGGGGAAGGCTGGTAAATAAGAGTGGGTATTGACAAAGTGTGATAAATGAATCTTTACATTTTGGTGCAGTGTGGTAAATATCCCTTAGCAAAAAGAATATGAATATCAGTGCAGAGCACTGGATTTTGGTTGTTTGGTTCTTAAATCTAAAGTGACAAATGGTTATGACAAGGTAACAAACCTAGTTGATCAAGGGAAGCCAGTTGATGTAATCTTTATGGATTTCAGGAAAGCTTTTGATACTGTGTCTCACAGGATCCTTCTGGACAAACTGTCCAACACACAGCTGGATAAACATGTCATGTGATGGGTGAGCTCACAGGCCAAGTACAGAGGGTAATAGTGAATGGGGTAACATCAGACTGGCAACCTGTGGAGTTCCACAGGACTCCATCTTACGCCCAGTGCTCTTCAACACCTTCATAAATTACTTGGACGCAGAAGGGATACTAAGTTTGCTGATGATACTAAATTGGGAGGAGCTGTTGACTCCCTCAAGGGCAGAGAGGCCCCATAGAAAGACCTTGACAAATGAGCAGGCTGGGCAATCACCAACCCTATGAAGTTTAACAAGGGCAAGTGCTGCATTCTGCACCTGGGATGGGGCAACCCTGGATATACGTGCAGACCGCTGAATGAGCGGATGGAAAATAGTGCTGCAGAAAGGAACCTGTGGGTCCTGGCTGATGGCAAGTTGAATATGAATCTGCAGTGTGCCCTAGCAACCAGGAGGGCCAACTTTGTCCTGGGGTGCATCAGGCACAGCATCACCAGCTAGTCAAGGGAAGTGACTGTCCTGCTTTGCTCTGTGCTGGTGCAGCCTCACCTCCAGTACTGTGTGCAGTTTTGGGCATCACAATATAGAAAAGATATAAAGCTATCAGAGAGTATTCAAAGGAGTCACGAGGATGGTGAAGAGTCTGGAGGGGAAACCATACAAGGAACGGTTGAGGTCATTTGGCTTGTTCAGCCTGGAGGAGACTGAGGGGAGACCTCACAGTGGTCTATAGCATCCTCATGAGGGGAAGCAGAGGGGCAGACACCCATCTCTTCTCTGTGGTGATCAGTGACAGGACCTGAGGGAATGGCATGAAGCTGTGTTCGGGAGCTTTAGGTTAGATATCAGGAAAAGGTTCTTCACCCAGAGGGTGATTGGGCACTGGAACAGGCTCCCCAGGGAAGTGGTCACAGCACCAAGCCTGACAGAGTTCAAGAAGTGTTTGGGCACTTAACATTATACTAGTCCTTATTAAACATTTGGCTGTTAAAATGATATGTGTTTAACTTGTACATAAGTATAATGTTATAGGAAGAATCTGTCTGTGTTCCTGACAAGTTTACCAAATGAGGGTAACTTTTTAGTTAGGGCATGAGAAAGAACATATAAACAAATGAGTAAACAAAAGTAGGTAGGTGACTAAGACCTACTTATTCTTGTCTCTTAAATCTCTAACTAGGATTATGGTTGTACAATAGTGGGTTCCATAGGATTCTGTGCAAACTGAAACCTGAAATGTGGAGAAAGAACAAGCTTCATGTACTGTTTTTAACCAGATACTGTAAGGTTAATGAACTGTCAGATGATTAGGGTGGTTGTGGTGTATAATGATATAATGAAATTCAAAAGTCCTGACTACATTCCAAGACCTTGCTGGTATTTGAACCTTTGAAAATGTGTTTTTGATAATCATATACTCTAAACCTAAATATTGAAGCATCACAGGCATTCTATTTCAGCTCTAAATTATTTTTTTTTTTAATTCACAATGATTCAGACTGATATACAAAGCATATTTTACTCTGTAGGATAATAGATGAGCTTTCTTCTTGATTGTCATTGATTATCCCCTTCTTGAATATATAATTGGCTCACTTAATAAATACCATGAGGTTTTCAATGTGTGGTATAGTTAGTGTACTTGTATTCATAAATTGGGCAAAAGAGAATGAAGATAGAGTTTCAGTATAAAGTATGTGTGGTAAATACATGGCAAACTTGTGTTTGTAAAGTTTTCTCTTTGGTTTCATTATTTCCTTTTGCATTAAGTTAATGTAACTTTTTTTTATATGCTTTACTGTACAGGAAATGCAAAGGAACAGATTTAAACTTCAGGCATTGTCTTTAGCTTTTTTTGCTTGAATTCAGACCTAAAAGCTACATCTGCTTTTTATTTTTCTTCTTTCCATAATGGAAAAAACCCACGACCAAGTAGATGGAAAATTTTCCATGGCATGCTGTTACTTCTTACAGCCGGACAAATGGCAGGTGTGGGGTCTTGTATTGCTGAAGAAGACCCTGTAAGAATATTGGGAAGGTGGAAGTTTACTCCATGAATTAATAACTTAGGATAAGTATTTCAGCAATGTGTCTCTCTCTTCCTCACCATAGATGCCTTAATGAAAGGGTCAATGTTGATGTTTTTATAGATATGAAGTACCTTTTTCAAGTGTGACTCATGTATGGAACAGGATCTCCCCAATAGCAGAAATATCCTCAGAGAAGGTACCAATTTACAGTAATACCTCTACATGAAACACAAGCAGTAGAACTGTGAAGGAT